CCCTGCCTGCTGCCTGGGTGGGCACGGGGGGGGGACTGAATCCCACCTTCTCCCTGAACCGTTCTTGGGGCTCTGCACTTGAACACCCTTTCTGATCAAGTCTAGCACAACCTATCCTGGGCTGGATTAAAAGGACTCTAGGCCAGCCTAACCCTCCCAGCTGGTATGATGTGTGTCCTGGAAAGTAGCTTCCTTCCCAAGGGATATGTTGTGGTCAGAGCCAGCCCAGCTCCCCATCTGCTGCAGGGGTTTCTGCAGGCCTCCCTCCCTTTGAAGCTAAGCTTTCCTTTCTCTGCTTGGCTCAGAGAAGCTCCCTGGCTACATCCTAAAGTGGCCTCGGTTCCTCCTTTCCTACAGGAGCAGGTATCACTTACACCCTAGCAGGGACCCACATGAAAGATGATGCCCCAGCATGAGCAAGGCCTGTTTTGGTTAAGCAAACACTCAGCAATAGAGGAAACTTCTCCACAAACCCACCACACCTCCTATGAAAACACAGGAGCCCTCCTCTGGGAGCAGGCTCTAAGCTTTCTACCAAGCCAGCAGATCCCCAGGTCGATAAATCTACAGCCCTGGGATGAGCTGGATCCCCTGGGAGCCTTGCTGAACTGTGGGAGATGTCACCTGGACAACCTGTGGCACTGAGCACTCCCTGCTCCCAACCTGACCCTGGTGCTTGGCCTCTGCTTCCCAGTTTGGCTCAGCCCAGTCAGGCAGCAGGAACATCAGGGAAGGCTGTTCAGAGGAAGCCGTGCAGGATTCTGGGCTGTCTGGCCCTGCTGCAGAGGGGAGGTGTTGCCCCCATCTCTCCCTGAGCTCCAGATGGCCAGGACCTGAGTGGACAATTACTCAGGGCTTAAATATGAAGCGAATCTAAGAACTGGGAAATTTGATGTGAAATTGTGCTGTTCCCTGGCTGTGCAGCAAAGGGATGGGGCAGGATTGCAAGGGACAGCCCTGATAATCCCCCTTTGACTCCCCCAGATGTGGGGGGACTGTCCCATGTCCACCACCCCTCACCCTCCTGCCAGGGGCTGGTGCTGGATAGCTGGCAGCTATCCCAGCAGCTGCCTGCAGAAGGATTTCCCTGGGCTTTGCTCCTCACTGGCCACTTGGATACGTTTAAGTCTCAATGAGATTTTCCTGTTCTGAATGATTAATCTGGAGTGGCTGGTGCTGGATGAGCTGGGAAGGGTTTGACAAGGTTATGCTGGTTGGTGGCTCTGTGCCCGCTCCTCCTGAGGGCCAGACCTGAGCAGATGGCCCTGTGAAGCCTTGCTGCAGCCCAGGGCTTGGGGACAGGTTCCAGCAAGTGAAGTGCCCAAATGCCTGGCCACAGCCCCAGGGCAGCTGCTTCCCTGTGTTCCCAGCAGCCTGTTAACTGCACCTTGTGGAGAGACCTGGCTGATACTTTACATTTCTAATCCACACAATGTCACAAAGAGGTGGAGTCAGAGGGCTAGGGAAATGGAAACAGGCAGCAGAACATTCCTGAACAGGAGGGATTGATTTTCTGGGGTATTTATTCCCTTGTGTCTGTCTCATCCATCATACTCCCTCCCCGGTTCTCCTCTCACTGTGGGGACACAAAGGGGTCATTCCCTCCTTGTAGGATGCTGAGAAAATGCTCAGCACCATGTGGAAAACCTTTCTTGCTGCAGCTCACTGTTGACTTGTGGCCAAGTTGCTTCCTTAAGGGATGATATGTTTTCTCCAGCTGGAGAAGGGAGACATAGGCAGGTTTTACAGGAGGTTGGGCCCCAAAGCTGAGGGCACAATCACCCATGCTCCTTCCTGGGCTGTGCAAAGAATTAAGAAGGCTGGAGGAAGTGAGGATGTTTGGAGAAGCTCATTTAGGTCAGTTTGGGTTCCCTGCTGGCTTTGCAGTTCAGTGGTGTTGCCCTTGAAGACACTGAGTCCAGCTCCAGGAGTCTGCTGGACCCCAGCAGAGCTTTTGAAGCCATCCTGCTCCATTCCCTGTCTCCTGATGGCTGCTGCAGGCAGCAAAAGCCAGGGCTGCTCTAAGCAAATCATGATGTGATGCCAAGCTACCTGAAAAACTCTCTTCTGTCTTTCTCTCCCTCACTGAAGGTGATCACCATTTTCACACTGGTGGAGGTGGTGCTGACGTCAGATGGTGCCCCCCTCAAGTACAGCGCCGTGCTCAAGAGACCGAGCTCGGAGAAGTGAGCTCCCCAGGTGGTGGGTGCTCCCCACTGCTGACACGTGCTCAGCTCCCACACACCAGCACCCTTTGAGGACATGAGGAGTTTGGGGATTTGAGTTTTAAAACTGATGCCATTTTATTTCTGGTTTGGATTTTAACTTGAGCTGGGAGTGGGGCACAGGGCTTGAGCCTGCCCCGGGCAGAGCATTTCTTCTCTTGGGTCTTTTTAGCTTGATGCTTTATTTTTGTTTTTTTTAAGAAAGTGGTGTCTGTCCTCAGGAACCTTGGGTGCCCAGGGTGAGGGCCAAGCAGGGCCACATGTTGCTGGGAGCAGAGTGGGACTGGCTCCACCATCCTGGTTGGGATACAATGGGATGCACTGGGATGTGGCTGTGGGGCCATCAGGAGGGCTTCTTGCAGGGTGTACTGTGTAATAAAAAACAGGTCAGCAGATGCTTGGGGAGCTTGAGCAGGTTTTATTTTGTTCCATCCATGTTCCCCATTTGAATCCCAGCAATAATTCCTCTCCCAGGCAGCCCTGCCTGCTGCTTCCTGGTTATTGTGAAATCTGAGTGGCCTCACTGCCTCCCCCAGCCCCAGGTTGTGCTGAGCTGGAGGGCGTGAGGGGTCGGGTGGACAAGTGCTCCTGGCTCCTGCTCTGGTGGCTAATCGCTCCGTCTGAGCCTTCACCAGCTACCACTGGGTGTCTTCTCCAGCCTCTCACACCCTGGCCTCCAGCCTCACCCTGACTGGGGTCCCTGCAGCACTGTGTCCTCCCTTCTGCCTGCCAGAAGAGCAAGCGTCCAGCTCCTCACAGACCAACCAGCCCCTCTGCAGTCTCCAGGCAGGATGTCCCTGGCAGCCGTGGACAGACCCTGCTTTGTCACCTCTGTGGGGATGGGCC